AAAGCAACTATCAGGAGTAGCCCAATGTCTCTATCAATAGCAGTTCTGAAATCCAGCCAGGCAATGGTTTCCTCACCCTCAGTTCCTGCTTGATTTTAAATGGGGCAGGATTCCTCTAGCTCCTGATTCTGTCTCTGACCTTTGGGTTCACTCTCTTCTTGCTCACAGTAGTGCAGGAATCCAAAGCCCTCCTTTTTGTTTGGGACAATCTCTGACCCTTTTAGTTCAAGTAGTGGGTATTTCTACCAAAAACCAAAAGAATTTCTTAAACTATTTTTGACTCTTGGGTCTTCCTAGATTCATTCTTTCTAATAAAATTGTACTTACAAACCTCGTGGAGACAAACTCGTTCCCGAATTGGGTCAGCCTCATGGTTGCTGTGAGATAGCACATTTACTATACATAGAAATTACATACTAAGAATCTGTACACTATGTCCATGAGGTTACTAGAGAGATTTTTGTTTGCTTAAGATATCAACCTAAATCCTTAGTAGTTTTATCAAAGGGCTTTAAACTCATGCCCTTGGCCTAATCTTTAGCCCGTATTATCAAGACAGAAACCTAGATATCATATCTTCCTGTTTACATTTAAATGTAGTGTGATTTGTCATTTGGAAAAACCAAGGGTAAAAACAAAAATGTGTTTTTGGTTTTTTTTGGTTTTTCTTTTTTTTGGTTTTTTGAGACAGGGTTTCTCTGTGTAGCGTTGCGCCTTTCCTGGAACTCACTTGGTAACCCAGGCTGGCCTCGAACTCACAGAGATCCGCCTGCCTCTGCCTCCCAAGTGCTGGGATTAAAGGCATGTGCCACCACCACCCGGCGTGTTTTTGTTTTAAAATTCAGCAAATTCTGTCTGTATCTATAAATTCTCTCTTCAGTTTGTCTTCTCTGTGTCTCTCTCTCCTCTCTCCTCTCTCTCTCCTCTCTTCTCTCTCTCTCTCTCTCTCTCTCTCTCTCTCTCTCTCTCTCTCTCTCCTCTCTTCCTCTCCATTTTACTAGAGGTAGCAAGTTAAATTAAAAATAAATAAATAAAAAGCTAGGAAATACCTTCATCACTATGTCCATGATGATCACTCTCTACATTATCTGTTTGTTTCTTTTGTCCAGGTGACAGTACGCTAACTCTCCTCTGCCACAAAGCAAGATCTGTTTTCCAAATGTGAAAAAACTCTTGAAATACTATTAGTGTTCACCAACAGTCTTCCATTGCCTTTGGGCTTCTTCAGAAAGTGTTTCTGAGGTGTTCTAACTGCTCATAAACATTCTTTTTCTGGTCTTCCCACATTTAATGACAACATCACTACCACACACTTTTAAAGTTTCTTTAATGAAAGCACTCTCCTTCCAAGTACAAAAATATGTCTATATATGTGTGTGTGTGTATATATGCATATGTATATATAGTCAGTGTATACATATATGACATTCACATATATATGAAGTAATAATAAGTAATCCAAAATATAATAGCGTAAACCAATAATAATAAGGTATACAGATGCTATTATAATTTAGCTTTTAGGTCATAAGATGCTAAGCTATAATTATAAATAACCTAAGATTTCTCTGAGAGCAAGAAAACCAAAATTACCAATATCACTAATCAAAGAAGGGCAGCCACTTATTTCCAGAACATTAAAAGAACAATAAAGAAATGTTAAGAATAAGTGTAGACCCAAAAATTAGTAACAAGATAAAATGAATACATTTCTTGAAAGATATACTTGGCCAAGATTTTCCACATGGATAAACAGACCAACAGAGTCTGCCTTTACCTATTTAGTAAGTAATGTCACTGGCTAATCTATCAAATATTTATGAGAATGATGCTCCTTCCCCACAATCTCTTCAGGAAATAAAAACAGAAAAAGACTATTTCTTAACTCATCCTATACTTCAAAGGCTGATGCAGGATGATTGAGCAAATTTAAGACCAGTTTGGGGATGAATAGTTAATTCCAGGCAAGCCTGCGCTTCAGAATGAGACCATCTCATGAGGGCAAAACAGGAAAACTAACTCATTTTGTGAGGTCAACAATATCCTAATATTAAAGTCAAACAAAATAATATAAAAAAAGAAAATTATAAACCAATATCTCTCATAAACATACTTACCAAATCTTAAAAAAAAACCTACCATATTGAATCCAACACTGCATAAAAAGTATACATCACAGTACTAATACTTACAAATAACTGGCTGAACATTTCAAAATCAGTTGATACAATCTATAACATCAGTAGACTGAAAAGAATCCTGTGAGCATATCAATAAGTAGAGAAGAAATATTTGACAAAATTTAATATATTCATGGTGAAATATCTCAAGAAACTAGAAATAGAGGAAAACATCTTTGACATGAGAAACAGTATCTCTAAAATATCTACAGCTCACATCCAACTTAACTGAAAACTACATGCTTCCCTCTATGACCAAGAACAGGAGTCCTTGTCATCACTTCCATTCAACATCACATTAGATATCTTAGATAGTGAAAATGAATGTGAACAGTACCTTTGACACTCTCACAAAGAAGGGCTCACAACCCTAACTGCAAAAGCAAAGGAAAACTAAATCCAAAGCCATAAAACTTCTAGATGACAAAAATATGCAGAAACCTAGTGACCTTGAGTTTGACAATGACATTTCAGAAATAACACCAAAAGCATGATGCATAGGAGAAAATTGATTAGTTGGACTTCACTAAAATTAAAAACTTCAGCTTTGCCAAAGACATGTTTAAAGAATGAAAAGACAAGGCACAGACTGGGAGAAAATTTTTGCAAAACACTTATCTGATAAAGGACTTAGAATCAAAATATCCAAAGAACACTTAAAACTCAACAATAAGCAAACAATCCAATTAAAAAATGGGCAAAGGATCTGAACAGACACCTCATCAAAGATATACAGATGGTAAATAAGCATATGAAAATATGTTCAACAGTACATATCAGTACAAAACTGCAAATTAAAACAACAATAAGATGCTACTACATGTATTTTTAAATGTACAAGGACTTGTTTTAATCAGATATGTTAAGACATGCAAGCATGGAAATGCCTACTACAAAAGAAACTGTTTTTATACTCTCAGATCCTAGAAGCAGCAGGCACATGGCACGCTATGCCTAGCCACATGGGGGACACCAGGTCAGCCAGGAGCAGAGGGAACAAGGAATGCAGATGCAAAAACACTGATTGTGACCTCAGCACAAAGAAACAAATACTGCAAGTGAGACAAGTTTAGAATCAACATATGGATAAAAACTATAGTATGCTCTGGGAAACAGGAGCCATCCTGAATTAGCTCATACCTGGCATTGAGTGGCTTGGGGCAAAAGAATATTGACATTCAATGCAAATGCAAAGGAAATGTTCAAAACCTGGGCAGTGGTGACGAACACCTTTAATACCAGGACTCGGGAGGCAGAGGCAGGCTGTTTTCTGTTGAGTGCAAGTTCAGCCTTGTTTATAGAGCAAGTTCCAAGAGAGCCAGGGTTACATAGAGAAACCCTGTTTCTTTTTTTTTTTTTTGGTTTTTCGAGACAGGGTTTCTCTGTGTAGCTTTGCGCCTTTCCTGGAACTCGCTTTGGAGACCAGGCTGGCCTCGAACTCACAGAGATCCGCCTGGCTCTGCCTCCCGAGTGCTGGGATTAAAGGCGTGCGCCACCACCGCCCGGCTGAGAAACCCTGCTTCAGAGAGAGAGAGAGAGAGAGAGAGAGAGAGAGAGAGAGAGAGAGAGGGGAAGGGAGGGAGGTAGGAAGGAAGGAAGGAACGAATGAAGAAAGAAAAGAAGGAAGGAATGAATGAAGGAAGGAAGGAACGAAGGAAGGAATGGAGGAAGGGAGGAAGGAAGGAAGGAAAAAGAAAGTAGTGTTAAGAATTTGTCAGTTTGGGATTGGTTGTGCCCAGCTCACTCAGCTCACTCGGGAGAAAATTGTTAGTTGTCTTTAGGTTTTAGCCAACCTTTGAATGAGCACACTTCCTAATCAGCAAGGACCTGGATGTCAAAACAATTGTAAATTACAGAAAAGAAAAAACAAAATTGGTATAAGACACATATAAGAATAACACAAGTCAGTGCTGGCAAGAATGTGGTACAAGACTACTTCATCCTCTGGAGGACTACAAAGGTTTATAGGCACTTTGGAGGAGAATGTAACAGTTGCTTAAAAAGTTGAACATAGGTTCATCCTATTGACTCCAATGAGTTGGATGTTTATACTCATACAATGTCTTGCATTTGTCAAAAGTTTAAAACAAACAAGATGTCTTTCAAAGACTAAATTGATTAAATAAATTATGGTACATCCATAAAGTAGAATATTATTAATCAATGATAAGAGACATGCTGTTGGACCACAAAAAAAATATAAAGAGGACCTTTGAATGTATTTTCCTAAGTGACAGAGCTATTCTGGAAAGACTACTTCATATATGATTGCACTGCATGACATTCCAGAAAATGTAAAACTGTAGAGACAGCAAGTAATCAGTGATTGCCAGAGATCTGGAGGTGAAGAGAGAAGGCATAAATAAGTAGGATATATAGTATTTCTAATGCAGTGAAATTAGAAAATTAGAAAATTCTCAATAACATGATAGTTAGACATATTCTTATGCATTTGTCAAAATGAATGGTATTGTACAAAGATAAGGGTAAGTCCTAATGTAAATAATGATCTTCAGTTAACAATAATGTATCAATATAGATTGAACAAATGTGGCAAATATACCACATTAATATTAGATATCAATAATGAAGAAAACTACATTGAGAGAGATGACATATATAAGCCTACTATACTTCCCTTTTTCCTTCATGATTTTTTGGGAGGTAGTTCAAGACAGGGCTCCTCTGTGTAACCCTTTCTGTCCTGCAACTTGCTCTATAGACCAGGCTAGCCTGAAACTTGGAGATCTGCCTACCTCCCTCAGGAATACTGGGGTTGAAGTTGTGTGCCACCATGCCCAGCTTCTCCGTGTTTTTAATCAAAGGAGAACATGAACTCAACCCCAGTCCACCATAAATTAGGAAGTCAAGTTTTCCAGCTCTGGTGAAGCTGCAAGAGTCAGCATATCCAAGTGCAATAGATGAGCCTTGCCCTGGGAAAACTACCTTCTTGATCATAGTATATCTCCTGCCAGATAAGTATGCTGTAGAATATTACTTTAAGGTGTGCTACTTTTGTTTATGTGCTAGAACATTTGTTTAATGATGCAATGATGTGTTACATTCGTTTGATTAAATAAAATTCATCTGGGGTCAGGAGACTAAGTCAGCAACTAGCTGACAGGAAGTAGTAGGGAGGAGCCAGGGGGAAAACGGCTTTCAAGTGGGGGCTGGAAGAAGGATGAGGGATTTGGGGGAGATGTGAGCAAGGAGAGGAGGTGAATGACTTCCTATTCAGCCTCTCTGAGGAGCAGAATTGCACCTCAACCTTTGAATCTTGAGTTATTTAGAGGGACATAGATTTAGATAAGTTCCCTTGGTAGCTTTGAAAGAGTTGGTGCCTGAGGGAGCAGAATCCCCTCAGGCTGTAGATGGAGTTTTCTCCAGTCCCACTCGGCCCACAGCTGCTCAGACCCAAGTAAACACACAGAGACTTTTATTACTTACAAACTGTGGCCGTGGCAGGCTTCTTGCTATCTAGTTCTTATATCTTAAATTAACCCATTTCTATCAATCTATAAGTTGCCACGTGGCTTGTGGCCTACTGGTATCCAGCTTGCTTCTCATGGCAGTGGCAGCTGGCAGTGTCTCCTGACTCAGCCTTCCACTTCCCAGAATTCTCCTCTTTCTTTGTCCCACCTATACTTCCTGCCTGGCTACTGGCCAATTAACACTTTATTTATTAACCAATCAGAGCAACACATTCACAGCATATAGAGTGATATTCACAGCAGGCTGAAACCACTGCTGGTGGTCTTGGAGTTGCAGTTGTTGATTAGGACAGCTATGGCTTAAAAGGCAGCAACAGTTATAAAGAAAGACAACATAAGTATCCCTTTATACTACCTAGATGATTTTTGTCTATACTTAGCATTGTTCAGAGCTGGGTACAGTGGCAGTACCTGTAGTCCTAGGTATTCAGAAGGCACCCAGGACCTCAAGGCCAGCCTGGGCAACATGCAAAGATGCCATCAAAAGAAGAGCAAAGGAGTGTTTTTTAAACACCAAACAAAAGCATCACACAGAAGACACTGACATTTCACAGAGCAGACAGAAAGTTCATATTCCAAATAGTCAGGAAACAATAGCAAATTAATAAAGATTAAAAAATTTAAAAGAGAAAGAGAAACAAGAAATGCAAAGAAAAGAATCCTAAAATGCCAATCTATATTGAGTTCAACTGCAGTACTCAAAGCAAAATGAACTTTGTTTTCATTGTCCAGACTATACAGATTTGAAGGTTTCAATGGCAGGACATTGTGGAGCATTAAGTACTTCCATACATTATGTGTAGTCATTTGGATGTGAACATTATGAGGTGTGGTTTATTAGAGCTTGGCTGTATCATTCAACACATCAACTACATCCCTTGAAGACATTCAAGAGAAATGCTTGAATAGGTACAAAATGAGATGAGCACAAAAGGACTTGTGACAATGTGGAATTGGTGATATTGAAAATAAGGAATTAACTAAGAAGACATAATAAAATGTGTACAGTGGAATGTAACAAAGGGTTGTCAGTGAGTAAAGAACTATATTATAAATAGGAATAAACCCCCAGAATAATGCTGAATGGGAAAAAACTATAAATGTATATAAAAAAAGGAAAGTGCTTAAGATACAGTTCCCTAGTAAAAACATGGGTACAAATGATAAATAGCATGTTTGAGTGAAGCAGATTCCTCTAAGATGAAAGAGAAAGGGGGTTGAAAAAGATTCTAAAAAGACCTATTTACTTGTTAAAATGAAACTGGAGTACACTGGAAAAATTGAAGCCGACTGGAACAGGACTATTTGTTCCTTGTTGTACGTTTTTCTGTGCATTTGATGTACTTCACTTTAATTAGTGATCAGATCATAACTCAGCTCCTCATTGTTTATCTTAAAGATGATAAAGAGACAGCAAGTGAAGGACGTTCATTGGGACAGCAAGCCCATAATAATATAATGAGCTCAGTGGGCTCTGCTCCGGAGACAGTGATGAGAGCCCTGCTGTCACAAACACACGGCAGAAGCAATGTTCCCTAAAATTAGCAGCAGTGACAGGGTCAGAAGCCCTTACACCCTCACTGTCCCCAGCAAGGAAAGCTGTCCCAAATCACCACTTGTGACGTTCTGATGGGAATGGGGGCCTTCTCCCTAGAAGGACTCCCTCTGTTCTCAGAAAACACTGTCAACTGAGCCTTCACTACTAACAAAGCCCAAGAGGAGCCAGGCGGCTTTGTCTTTGCCCACCCTTCCAACACTGATGCAGCTTCTCTGTTGTCAAATAAGGCCCTGTGCTGCACATCTGCTCTGTGTGGTAGGGAAGTAAGTGGAGGGAGGGTGCTGTCTATAATTATGAAAGGGAGAGAAGATGTTGTGATGGAGAAAGCTTGTGTGTATACAAATTGATGGAGGAAGCAAACAGATACTCCACACAGTTTAGGGTAGAGAGACTAAGATTTAGGGGATATTTGACTTCTCTCCAAAGAAGTAACCCACTTATGTCTAAAGGGAAGGGAAAGGATGTCTTACTTGGGAGTTGGAGATCAAGTTGAAATAGGAAGTAAGGCCAGAGTCAGAACGTGCAGAAAGCACAGGCTTGTGAACTGGCCCACATGGCGATCACAGAAGAAAGTCTCTCAAGATGTGGGGAAAGCAGAGGCTGCAAAACTGAGCCTGAAATGGAGGTCTGACTTCAGTTTCTACATCCGGGTAATTTAGTCATTTCGTCTCTAAAATGAAGACTGGAGCTAGATCTGTGTCTTCTTGCGTGTGGCCCTTTGCACTGGAATGACGTGGGAAGAATCAGAAGTAGCAGTTCCTGGACCAGATTAGAGTACACAAGCCAGAGTGAAAAGATGCATTTTAACGTCTTCTCTGTAAACCTGAGTATACAGTTTAAGACACAATACTAAGAATGTTGAATCTTTTTCTGTTTTACTTTATTTTAGAGAGAGAGTGTGTGTGTGTGTGTGTGTGTGTGTGTGTGTGTGTGTGTGTGTGTGTGTGTGTGTGTGTGTGTGTGCAGGTGCAGGAACAGCAGAAGTCAAAAGACAGCATCAGATCCCCAGAAGCTGGAGTTTAGACTGTTATGAGCTGCCATGTAGCTGCTAGAAACCGAACATGGGTCCTGTGCGAGAGCAGTAAGCATTCTCTCCAGCCACATGTACAAAATTCTAAAGGCCCTGGCTCTGACAGTCTTTGGTGATTGAACTTGATCCCTTTTGACAGTCACTCTGGAATTAATGGTATTTCCTGAAATGTGTAAGGGAATGAGAGAACTAATTTGTTTCCTTAGGTTTTTGATGCAATTTTCTGAAGAATGTCATATACGGTCTCTTTTTTTGAGTAAAGAACTGTTCATTGTTCCTGCTATAGAAAGCTCTCTCTAAAACATCTACTGATAATGTTTATGAAGACGACAGATGAACACTTCTTATCACTTGGAAACATGACCATTTCTTTTCCTGGAGAGGAGCAAGATGGGGATCCTGATAATAGTTCTGGAAGAGAGAGAAGACGGGATCTTCGTAGGAAATACCCAGCATTTACATCCTCCATTTAATCCCTTCCTTGGGTCGTCTGCAATATTTCACTGTTGATTCTAGTTCGGTTTCTATAAATTTGCTTTCAACTCCTTTTCTTTCTTCAAATATTTGCTGAATCCTCGAAATGCCAGGACTGTTGCTTCATTCATGGGATGCTAAGATTATAAAACATATGGCTGCTGTCTCAAAGAACTCAGGAGATGGGGGCACATACAGTATACTCCATGGTAACACCCTGGGGTTTGAAGACTGATACGTATAAAGTAACTTAATACCATGGAAAGGGAGCCGCTTGCTTTCATTTGGAGGAGTTGAGAGCCTTTTTAGCATCTCAGTTCTGCGGGAGCTGAGACATTCTAAAGTAAAAAGGTGAACAGAGAAGTCGGGGCACATGAAGAACCTCCAGGAGGCATAGAGGCCTAAGCAAACACACAAAGGTTCGTAGTGGCACTTTCGGCTCGGGAAATGATATGTTGTTCTTTGCTTTAGGGAGAAAGTGGAATGTGAGTTTAGATAGTAAATCTGGATTCAAATTAGAGTGATCTCACAGGCTGGGGATGTAGCTCAGTTGTATACATGAGGCCCTAGGTTCAACACCCAGTGCCAGAATCTTAAAAAAGGAAAAGAAGAGGCTAGGAAGATCTTGTGTGAAGGTGCTAAAGCTTACCATGATTTTTTAATTCAGTGCGATGGCACTGGTGTGAAGTGTTGGTAACATGGCCTGCCCTTTGAAAAAGAACACTCTCTGGAACAAATAGGAAAAGCAGAGAGAAGGATAGAAACAAACAGCCGGTGGTAAGCGAGTCATGAGACCAGTGGAGAAATCCAGGGGACACTCGCATCAGCAAACGAGCAGCTGCAGGGAGGCTAAGGGAGGTTAGAGTTGACTCCAGAAGCAGAACTCAAAGGGCTTGGAATTGATCACTGGGGAGGGAAGAAGAGGAGGAGCTAGAGAACTGTCCAAGCTGTATCTGTGGTTGCTAGGTTTGCTGGGGAAGAGGACAAAACACAGTAAACAGATCACTGAGATGGTGCGGTCGAGTGCGGTGGTTGAACGAGAGCTGCCGACATGAGGAGGGTGAGTGCTGGACTGACCCAGGGATCTGCAGCGCATGAAGATGTGGACCTGGCCATGCAGACTTGGGAGGGAGATGCACAGAATTAGTACCTGAAATCTTCATTATACATAAAACCACCACAGGGAAGTCAGAATTAGATTGATTACCAGAGAGATGAAGCTAGAAACTTAAGGGTATCTGTATACATCCCGTGTTTCCCACTGCTAAACATGATGATAGATAAGTTATGATGGGGCAAGAGAGGGGAACGTACACCTAGTTACCATGGCTAAAAGTGCTGTAGTGATAAATGCACAGAACAGTTATACATCTACTAAATCACCAGTTCTTTTTTTTCTTTTTATTGGTTATTTGGGAATCTCGCATCAT